GATATTTTGAGAATTCTTGTTTATTGCATTTTATGGAGCTTGTCAAGCACAAGACTGGTAGTGGTGTCCCTTTTTTTTCGGTTTTCCATATGAATGAGCTTACTCCAGCTGGTGGTACAATATCCAGAGGCAGTATCGCCTCTCTGATCCTCTAGTTATTATTGATAACATTTGTTTTCAGAAAATACCATGCTCTTGATGCAGAAGTTAGAAGAACTGAAGGCTGAAGGAGAGCAGAATTCAGATAACTCTGAGAAAGGCTTGGTAAATATACCCTTAGTGTCAGGGCACTACAAAGCTAGTTTGCTCACTATACCTTTCCATTTGTTAGCTTTACAGTGGTATGGCTGATGTGGGTTATATATGGAATCAAGATCGAGCTGGCAATACCGGAATCTAGAACCTAGGTAAGGTAAATAGAAAAATAACCCACTGCCAAAGTGTTTACAGAAAAATTCATGTTGCACTGCTATGATGTGAACAGATAATTAAGTAGATACGCCATGCTCTTTCTTCCTTTGTAGACCAGCCTGATTGGTAAGAAAATACCTGCTCAGTCCTTCACGTACAATGCAGATGATGTGATACTGTATGCACTTGGAGGTGAGAATATTAAATCGGGAACATATTATAACTTTTAGAAAATGTTTGAATTCCCAATGTAATAACTGTTTAAAATAACAATTTTAAAAATTCATTGAAGCACTGTCATGCTTCAAGGGCAGATCCAGAGATATTTTCTGACAGTCTTCCAAATTATCTTTTTTGATCCATCCATAATTTTCACTTCTTTCAACAGAAAAAATTAGATAACTGTCGATGTAAACTTGAAAATCTGACCATCTTCTTGAAGACACAGAAGACAGCCTCAATCCGCCCCTGTGCTTCATGTTTGATGAATTTGTTTCTGGGTCTTTTCTTTGTTCCTTATATTTTTATTACACACTTTGAATTGTAATGGGCCATGGATAAGGAAATTTGGTTGTATAATAAATGTGAAGAATTAAAGCTGTTTTAATAATCTAAAGTTAATGTAGTGTTTGTCTGTTAGACTTTACTGCCTTTTAAAATATCCTGATGTATTGCTGTTCATGATCAGTGTAAGTCACCAATGCTTCTTTTATACCATTTCTTTCTTTTGTAGTTGGTGCATCTACAAAACAACCTGATCACCTCAAGTTTCTCTATGAAGGGTCTGAAGATTTTAGTGTCATTCCATCCTTTGCTGTAATTCCTGCTCAGGCAGCCACTGGGGCTGCTTTGTCATCCATTGGCTCTATGGTAGACTTGACTAAAGTAAGAAGTTTTTTGATGTTTTTTAATTATGCTGAATATATTGAATGCACAAGCTGTATCAAAACTTTCAAACACTAAAGCAAGTTCTAGGCACTGTCATTATTATATTAAAGGGCCATGCAGGGGATTTTTCTGGCGAATTTGAACACACATTTAAAAATCCCTCCAGTCATGTTAATTTATCTTAAGACATTAAACCCTTTGGATAAAAATTTATCTGAAGTTTACCTTGTGTCGTAATCATGTTCTCAGCCTCATTGGGTAGCCTTTGCCAGCTTGTAGCATCTGTATTATACCCAGCACAAGGCCACATTACAAAACACCTACCATTTTCTTGTGTAAAAACAAGGCAATGCTGGGGTAGCGCTAGCAATTTTTTTGCCTAGCCAAATTACCACTTTTTTTGTCAATTTGTTATCCAAATGGCTTTAATTTGACTAAAATTAGTCAAATCAAACCCTTTTTGTTTAGCCAATTTAAGTCAGTTTTAGCATTCGGCTAAATTGACGAGTGTTAGCGCTACCCCAGCAATGCCTGTGATGGCAGATGCCATTACTATGACTGACCAAACATTATAAACTAAAGTGTTAAATTCAAAATGGAGTAAAACATCACCTCAAAGTGCAGGGATGGGTCAATAATTTGAGTAGGGGAAAATTGTTCTATGCCCCAGGAGAATTCATATTTTCTGAGAAAATCCCAAGGAGTGAGTGTCCTTTAACCTAAAGCCAATAAGAATATTTGCTTTATACAGGTATGTATATATTATTTTTTGATTGACTTGAAGGATTAATAAACCAGTCTCACATGTGTCTTATATTTCTATTACAGCTCCTTCATGGAGAGCAGTATTTGGAGGTGTTCAAGCCTTTCCCCACCAGTGGCACACTGAAGACACAGGCAGTGGTATCAGATGTGCTAGACAAAGGATCAGGAGCATTGGTAATTCTAGACAGTAAGTAAGCAAAAACACTTAAGTTAAAAGTGTTAATCAGTTTTTTGTTGGGCATTTAAAATATACTAATAATAGTTCCACTTTGGATTAATAGATGAAATGTTTTATTTAATAAAATGATTTTAAGTACTAATTGTACCACCAGCGTTAGCGCTGGCGGTACACATGGTTTTAGTCCCGACCAGATCGTTCCGCCGGCTCCGCCAACAAGTTACCATTACCGCTTCTCCTCCTAGACGGTAAGGGCCTCCATACCCATCTCTTGGATTTAGGTCACCTATATTCTCAACTCGTTCCACGTAAAATTTGGGCTTTGTCGGTATTGGGGTCTAGGTGTGGCACTCATTGCAATGCACCCTTGTCCAAAAATGGCAAAATTAAATGCTAATTATCTACCCTACGGAAGGAATTATGGGAAAAATTTCTACAGACAGCTTTCCAAAAGTCATATGTGTAGATTTCAAATATGCCTTTGGATTTGACCTTTGACCTTTATTTCAAGGCCAAATGGGCCAAAATTTTCAAAAAAAACGAATTTTTTTACGAAAAAAAAATTATTTGCGCTGTTATTCAGACACCACACAGACTTAACCAATAATGTTACTGGAAAGTGTTACCCTTCGGGTCATCTTTCATCCCCGTGAATTTGGGGTCAATCAGTGCATTTTCACGGGAGTAGCGGCCATAAGATACCGAAACTGAAAACTGTCTCTAATTCGGGAACCGTTAATGCTAGAGACCCATTCTTTTTTGCATTTTGTAGAGCATGTAAAGCCCAACACTGGAGGTGGTCTCCGTTTTTTTTGTATACCATACGGTTTTTGAGTTATGCTGTATCAAAAAGTACATATTGGTGGTAAAAGCAAAATGTGCAGTACGGTAATGGATAATAAATTTTGAACTCTGGAAAAATAAAACATAAGGCTTGGCAAAGCAGACAACTTGTGTTCAAAAATGACATTATTTCATCAAATTTGAACTTCTGAAACTTCAGAGCACCTCCTATTTCAAGAATTTTGACCAAAATGACATTTTCTTTATTTTAATTAATTTTTTCTGTACGAAATTTAAGGCACATTATGGTAACTCCAAAATTATAACATTTAGTCCCTTATATCTCCAAAACTGGCAGAGATAGGTCCATAGTTACTATTGAAGTTGAATAGGAAGTCATATACTGGCAATCTTACTGTGACCTTGAAATTGACCTTTGACCTACTTTTCACCATGAACTGAACTTTGCAAATTTTGCTTCCCTTTTATCTCCAAAACTGGCAGAGATAGGTCCATAGTTACTATTGAACTTGAATAGGAAGTCATATACTGGCAATCTAAATGTGACCTTAAAATTGACCTTTGACCTACTTTTCACCATGAACTGAACTTTGCAAATTTTGCTTCCCTTTTATCTCCAAAACTGGCAGAGATAGGTCCATAGTTACTATTGAACTTGAATAGGAAGTCATATACTGGCAATCTAAATGTGACCTTAAAATTGACCTTTGACCTACTTATAACCATGAACTGAACTTTGCAAATTTTCGTTCCCTTTTATCTGCAAGACTGGCAATGATATGTCCATAGTTATTATTGAATTTGAATATGAAGTCATTAAAGTCAATTAACTGTGACCTTAAAATTGACCTTTGACCTACTTTTTACCATGAACTTAACATTGCAAATTTTGGTTCCCTTTTATCTCCAAAACTGGCAAAAATACGCCCATAGTAACTATTGAATTTGAATAGAAGTCATTAGAGGCAATCTAAATGTGACCTTGAACTTGACCTTTGACCTTCTTTTCATCATGAATTGAACTTTGCAAATTTTCCTCCAAATTATCTCCAAAACTGGCAAAAATACGCCCATAGTAACTATTGAATTTGAATAGAAGTCAGTAGAGGCAATCTAAGTGTGACCTTAAAATTGACCTTTGACCTACTTATAACCATGAACTGAACTTTGCAAATTTTGTTCCCTTTTATCTCCAAAACTAGCAGAGATAGGTCCATAGGTACTATTGAACTTAAATAGGAAGTAATATACTGGCAATCTAAATGTGACCTTGAAATTGACCTTTGACCTACTTTTCATCATGAATTGAACTTTGCAAATTTTGGTTCCCTTTTATCTCTAAAACTGGCAGAGATAGGTCCATGGTTACTATTGTACTTCAATAGGAAGTCATATTCTGGCAATCTAAATGTGACCTCGAAATTGACCTTTGACCTTCTTTTCATCATGAATTGAACTTTGCAAATTTTGATTCCCTTTTATCTCCAAAACTGGCAGAGATAGGCCCATAGTTGCTATTGAACTTGAAAAGGAAGTCATATACTGAAAATTTACTGTGACCTTGAATTGACCTTTGGCCTACCTCACTATGAACTGAACTTTGATTGTACCATTTTTAGTTATATATATTTTTTTGCATATTTTGAGAATTCTTGTTGATTGCATTTTTTACAGCTTGTCAAGCACAAGACTGGTGGTGGTGTCCCTTTTTTGTGTGTGTGGGGGTCTATACGATTGCGCTTACTCCAGCTGGTGGTACAATATTCGGAGGCGGTATCGCCTCTCTGATCCTCTAGTTAATCAAGGGACCATACTGTTACTGTCATAGGTTGCTGAATATCACAGTGATTTTGATTTTAAAAATTTGCAGCTGATACTTATGATGAGTCTGGAGAAAAGTTGGCTCGCAACCAGTTTAGTCTTTTCTTTGTGGGCTATGGAAATTTCGGTGGCAAACGCACATCTGACAAACAGATCAATCCAAGCAAAACACCATCTAGAGCACCAGATGCCAGCATCAAGGAGCAGACAACGAAAGACCAGGTAATATATATATATATATATATATATGATATAGATATATATATTGATATAGATATATAAATGATAAAGGTAATAAGTTACATTCTTAGTTTACAGTTTACAGTTGTTATCACAATTTTAATATCTCTTTTACTGTAGTATTTCTATTGTGATATGGTACTGGGGTAACAGCTGTGTGCTAGCCATTGCTTAATATCAAACCAAAGCAATACTGCAGGATAGCATATTTAAATTGGACCAGTTTTGTTTGTAGGCAGCCCTCTACAGATTATGTGGTGATCACAATCCATTGCACATTGATCCAGCATTTGCAGCTATGGGAGGTAAGTGTTTTCCTAGTTAACCGAATGAATGGCTTCATGTTTTTATTAGAATTATTTTAAGGTTTGTCCATACAGAGAGTAAAATGTTTTAGAGCATGTTTTGCTTTTTGATTTCATTTTCCATTATTGTCATTTTCCAGGCTTTGACTCTCCAATTCTTCATGGGCTCTGCTCCTTTGGTTATGCCACCAGACATGTACTGAAGCAGTATGCTGGAAATGATGTCAGCAAATTTAAGGCAATCAAGGTTGGTTTCATCGTCACAGTTTCTTACAAACAGATATAGTAGCAGTAAAGGACATATTAAAGGAGTCTTGCCTGAGAAAAGTATTTTTCATGCAAAGATGTTGATATCTTTTAAAAAGTAGAAGTTACTTCACAACTACATAACCTAGAGTAAATCATAAGCACAGTCCCTCTGTATTCTCATTGAAGGTCCGTATGGCTAAACCAGTGCTGCCAGGACAAACTATTCAGACAGATATGTGGAAGGATGGCAACAGGATACACTTCCAGAGCAAGGTATCAGTTATACCCATACATTTGTATGTTTTTAAAAGAATTCTTATAAGAATGAAATTTTTCAGTAAAAGTTTGTCTAAGATTCTGGTTATCATGCCTTCAACAAAGTTTTCAGAAACATGTATTAATATAATATAATTTAATATAAAGATAATAATGGTTGTACAAACTTTTTTATCGGCTATGACACCACTGCATTTTTATAAAGAGAAAACAAATATAGAAACATCTAAATAAATGCCACTGTCATGATGATGCCATTTTTTGAAGGTGGTGGAGAATGGTACGGTAGCTTTATCAGGTTCTTTCATAGACTTGGCTGACACTTCGTCGTCTGCCTCTGTCTCTTCACAGCCAAAGGTAAGACTGTTGTCTCTTGATTTATGCTGACATTTTATCACAGAGTTATAAAGTCATGTTTGACAGAAACTTTAAACATTTATAAAAATATAATAAGTTTTAAATCTATATCTGTAAGAAATCTTATGTATTCTCCAATCTCTTCACTGAAATAATTATTGTACAAATGTTTTAGTGAGATATTTTACGTCATTATTAGTACCACCAGCGTGTACACTGGCGGTACTCATGGTTTTAGTCCCAACCCATCTCATTATCAGTTATTTTTATGTACAGACACAGATGTGTCTGTACATATAGCCATCATCTGCGTCTGTCGTCGCCGTCGTCGCTGTCGCCGTCGCCGTCGCCGTGCACTTTTACCGATAACACGATAAGTGGAAAACCATTTTGCCTTTTGATTTGAAACTTGCAGAACTGATGAATATTCATAATACGCAGGTCAAGTTCGAAAATCAGCATGATCGGGTCACTCTTAGGGAATTTATGCTGTTTTTTCACTTTTTTCAACATATATGCAGCACCGATAACACGATAAGTGGAAAACCATTGTACCTTTTGGCTTGAAACTTACAGAACTGATGAATATTCATAATACGCAGGTCGAGTTCGAAAATCAGCATGATCGGGTCACTTATAGGGAATTTATGCTGTTTTTTCACTTTTTTCAGCATATATGCAGCACCGATAACACAATAAGTGGAAAACCATTTTACCTTTTGGCTTGAAACTTACAGAACTGATGAATATACATANTGAGATCTATATTTCACAATAAAAACCTTGTGAATAACTCATAGAAATATAATATATTCTGTTTTACCACAAAAACAGCAGTTATAGCTATTATTCTGATATCTGAACTTGTCTTTAGACCACGTGACCTCCATTGATGTCTATACTCTGTTAAAATCTCTTAAGAGATTTTAACAAAAAACCAAACTTTTTAGAAAAAAACCAGGGACTAACTTTGAATGTAAAAATGGATTCATTAACCATTGGTAAGTATGGGAAAATTGATGTTTACTCCAGGAAAATTCATTTTTTGGCCAAAATGAAGAGTTATTATTGCTTTAACAACAGAGCTACACATTCTGACCAACTTTTTATTGGTAATATTGTACTTGGGGAGTTTTTTCCAGTGGACACCTTCCAATTAAAATAATGGTGACAAACTTGTTTATTCAGCTTTGGATCTACAGAGCAGTCCAGGGAAGGTGTACAAAGGGGCACCCAAAAATGTAAAGCCAGGCTGCACTTTAACACTAGCAGATGAGGACATGGTTACCTTGGTGAAAGGAAAACTTAATGCACAAAAGGTTTGTTATCATTTTCATCACTGAAAAAGAAATAATGTAAAAAATTCATAGATTATAAGGTGAATTCTAAAATAAATCATTAATCCATTTACTTTATTCCAGAATTAGTTTTACTGCATATATATATATATATATATATATATATATATATATATATATATATATATATAATTGAAAGGACACCATTGGACAATAACCATTGGTATTTTAACAGATTTATGAAGGGTTTTGAATACCTTTTTTCAGGCCTTCTTTTCTGGACAGTTGAAAGTGACAGGCAATGTGATGTTAAGTCAGAAGTTAGAGATGCTATTCAAGCAACAGGCCAAGTTGTAAATGCCGACACTAAATAGAATGCTGTCAAGTTATGCTCATGGTAATATGTATTTGAGGCAGTGCAATGTCCATAACAAATCAGGACATTTATGGTATTAGGATACAACACTAGATATGAAGTAGACATTTTCTGTTGGGAGAAAAAAGAAATATGCAAAAATCACGGCTTACAACTTTTCCATCAGTGAATGAAAATGATGGCAGAAAATCAAATCAATAACCCTACAATAAATGCTTGTGATTGAATGAAAGGTGCTGACCTCTTTTATTGGGAAGAGGAGCTAACTGCACCATACTTTTACCTTCAGTTCGATATAAGGTAATCCAAGCTTGAAAACACTTTAAATCCAAAAGAAATGAAGGAAAAAAGAACTGGTGATGTGATAAAAAAAATCAGACATTTACAACATTAGAATATAATTGTAGCAAATGCTTCATAAATTCAGGGTTTGTACTCATAAGGTTCAACAAAATTTCAGGATTTTTCCAGGATTATTTTTAAATTTCCAGGTGTAAAAACTTTCTAATATTTGAGGCTGTAAGTTATATTTCATGAAAGGGAGTATCAAGTTTGAGATCATAATACAGTCATATTTTATTAAGCCTAAAAGAAAACACAAAATTTTCTATAAAACATTTTAATTATTCAAATAAATTTGTAGTTTGACTATTGCCGAAACATGCCGATCACACATGAGACAACTAGCGGTCATGAGGGAAAACCAAAATTATAAATAAACCGAGCATGAACTAGTATTTACGATAGCGATCGTGAAATTTTATCAAATTTAATGTGTTTTCCAGGTGTAATTTTACATTTATTAAAAATAAAACACCTATTTCTCCAGGTTTTCCAGGACCTGGAAATTTCAAAATAAATATCCATGATTATTCCAGGTAGTGTACGAACTCTGTAAATTCTCTTTTTATTGTCAATGAAAATAACTGGTAGCAAACTTGAATGAAAATAATGTAATATATTTCTGAATAAACAATGCAACCCAGAGAAGTTCTTATTTCCTTTATTTTTCTATCATGTGAGATTTGTGAAATGTATAGAGTACATTAAATGATTGTAAGAAAATGTGAATGCAAAGATTTTTTTTTTTCATAAATACAATACAAACAGATTTGTGTATTTCAAGTTTATTTTTCTCTTACATCATAGTGGACATGGTTTTATAAAAAAAATGAAATTGTTCTATGGAATTATGAACATTGCATATTAAAATGGTGGGTCTAGTTCTTCTTGGGCTTAGTGTCATATTTGGACTTGCTGCTGTACCACAACATGAATGGGAATCCTATTGATGGCAGGGTCATGATGGCAAATGTCACCCAATCAATCTAAAAGGCATTAAAATATCATTAAATTTTGATTGCACACATTATATGCACAATAAACTTTATTTTAACACACAATTTGTAATGCCTAAAAACATGGACTTGATTTAGTAAATACACGCTCGGCTGTCACCTTGATTGGATAGTAAACGGTTGTCGTAAAATCGCTAAATGATATTAAAACCCGGTGCATAAAGTTGAAAACCACCTAGGACAACCTCAGACTGCCACATTAATCCAATACAATGCAAAAATAAACTATAACAAGTGGTTAAAGCCTTCAAACCGAATGTCGTAAAGTCCCCATATACCTCCATAGAGACAATAAAATATAGTAAGCTTCTGAAACAAGAAAAATCCAGTTCCAACATAATAATCGAAATAAAATACTGCCGGGCATCGGAGCGGCCTAAAACTTGGCACGCTTACCGCTAATACTGCAGGCTACATCATCCCGTCGCTCGTTTGTAAATTCCGTGCATGGCATACGCACAATCAAACCGTATATCCAAATTCCACCTCTGATGTTTGAATTGGTCCTCTCTAACCTACCATTACGAAAAAGAAGCCATGCCATTGGACAATGCGACCTCTGCGGTTACGTCATTTCCTGAATTGGATTGTAGAGAGGACCAATTCAAACATCAGAGGTGGAATTTGGATATACGGTTTGATTGTGCGTATGCCATGCACGGAATTTACAAACGAGCGACGGGATGATGTAGCCTGCAGTATTAGCGGTAAGCGTGCCAAGTTTTAGGCCGCTCCGATGCCCGGCAGTATTTTATTTCGATTTTTATGTTGGAACTGGATTTTTCTTGTTTCAGAAGCTTACTGTATTTTATTGTCTCTATGGAGGTATATGGGGACTTAACGACATTCGGTTTGAAGGCTTTAACCACTTGTTATAGTTTATTTTTGCATTGTATTGGATTAATGTGGCAGTCTAAGGTTGTCCTAGGTGGTTTTCAACTTTATGCACCGGGTTTTAATATCATTTAGCGATTTTACGACAACTGTTTACTATCCAATCAAGGTGACAGCCGAGCGTGAGTAAATAAGGATAAAATATTTGCTAGAAAAGAAATATAATACATCTTAACTGAACCTACCACATGTGGGGAAAACTTTCTATCATAATCCTTTCGACTGACAATTCCTTCCTCTCCTGGAGCTGTTGTGTATGTAAGCTGGAGAAAAAAAGATGTAAAAATAACTGCAAAATGCCAGAGGCAGTATTTAAGAGTTGAAGCTTAGAAAATAGGAAGAATTCAGCAACTGTTATGTAAGTGCAAAAGTATAAATGAAAAAATGAACTAATACCAATTACCAATAAAAACATTCACAAACTAATCCACTATCACTTCAGTTTTTATTTTTGTTTACCCAGTGAAGAGCCATGTTTAAAAGGTACTTTATGGATTTGAAAATTCCTCAAATAATAATTTTTGCCATCCACAGCTTCCAATAAAATCTTACATACACCTTAATAATGATATAACCCCTTAAATTTTTTTCTAAAGCGTACTTAATGCTGATATTTACATAGGAGCATATAGGAAGATGGTTGCTGGTTATAATGACTGGCCAGTCACTTTCAGTAAGGTTCAAATCTAAGATCAGAGATAGACAGATACTAGTAAATAATTCGCGAGTACAAGAAAATTGCTTATTTCTCTGTGAAAATCCATTTTGCCAGGAAAATCCCATGGAGTTGGCCTTTAAATGCTGAAAAACCTAAATCTTTTCCATACTGTATAACATACCTGAACTTCACTGTTTTCCTCACTTCCCTGATACCTGACCTCTGCTGCTGTGAAGTTGAAGTAGCCTGGCTTGAGAGGACTGAGGATAGCTGCATGGGAGACATTGGTCCCTCTTAACACAGGAATTAAGGACAAACACTTCCAAACCAACTTTTCAACAATATAAGAAAATTATTTGAAGTACTCTCTTTAGTACTCAACTATTCTTTTCAGTATTAATAAACAAACAGACATTATAATATGTTTGTTTTTTCTGAGCCCCCCCCCCCCACACACACAGAAATGCTAAGTGGTTCCTTTCTAGGCTGGAAAACACTGTGCACTGTCTCCATTTAACATGAATATTGATGGATCTTGTTAACCATGCACTACTGTTAGTGCTTGCATATCTGGCAACATAATTATTTCACATCTGTTGGTTACTTAACATGCCCCTTATCATAATACCTGAAAATTTATATCAACTATCTAAATTAAAATCTTATCAAAGTATATATGGCTTGTGATTTACATAAGAAACAATAGAAAAGGATACGGTGCAATTCTTTCCCATTTGACCCTGAGACTACCTCTTACTGTTTCAAAGTCACTTTGTGGAAAACCCATGTCTACCAGCTGGACATCTACTGCAGTGCTGAAATGATCAACAACATGGTCAGCATTCATGACCTCATTGTATATTTATTGTCTCAAACTATAAAGTATCATAGAAAAATCACCCTGCATCCTTTAATACCAATATCACAAAGGCACAATATCAATAACAAAAAATGCATAGATTATATGAAAATTTGTTATCATTCACTATCTTGTGGATTTTTACAAAACATTATTAGCAACACAATATCTTACCTTTCTCCTACATTGTAAATATTGTATTCAACTGTCAGGTCCTTCCCCTCTACCAGGTACTGGTTTAAAATGGTTTTAGAGGCCAGGAGCCTGGCTGGTTTGCCATCTTCTGAGTTCACAAAGGAAAACAGACACACTACACTCAATACTAGAAAGGTCTTCATCTGAAAAATAAAATAAATGTTTTTACATTATGATACCTATCCACTTGCTCAACAAACAGTATAGGTTTTATCGTATTAAACAAAGTTTTTAAAAATGTACAAAGTCAACCAGTTATAGGTCTAACAGTAAACTATCTAGCTCTACAGTGTTTATCTAGTTGTGGATCACATTCAAAATTTATTTTCTTTTACCAGTAATATTTTCATTTATATTTTGAATTACGAGATGCATGCTCTAGCTTCATTTGTGATGGTTCTAATGTTATGATATTTATTTCTAATCCTCAAGAATCTCCCTCAATCTTTAAGAAGAACAACCGAGATTGTAAGATGTATTGGTCATTCGCCGGTGTACTAAGCCAACGATAGCCACGTCGGCAGTGCTTCTTAAACACAGACTTGTTCAACATAAAATAATTCGGTTTATTTCTGAAAATTTGCTGAAATATGATATTATTTAACTTATGAGTACAAATTCTTTCTAAAAGGACGATCATAAATTTACATCAATGAACGAAACGTTTGACTTTAATGATACTTTAGCCCTTTACTTACCATGCTATCCTTGTGCTCTTCAAGCCGGATGTGAAAGGAGGTTAGAAGAGAATTATGGGAAGACCAAACCGGAAGCACGTTGTGCTTGTTTGTAAACTCACAGTAAAGCTTAGTAACATGTTCTTACCTACTCGTATATTTTACCTTATCCTTTGATTAATTTGGTCAGAAGAGCGCTGTACAAAAGAGCAGATTAAATGACTCTCGAGGTACGTACGTTGGCACGAAATAGGAGTGCTACCGCATGGGTTTCGTGAAATACACTGTACATGCATGTAGGCTATTGTAGAAATGGAAAAAAATTACAAGGTTGCCAATCACTTATGCTAGCACTCTTCTTCAAGGCTTTTGCCTCAGTGTAAGGCCCTACGATGAGGCAAACTCTCATTCAACATGTAAATGTATATGGTAATATTTTATAAGGAATCGAATTACATAGTACTAGTACATGTATATTACTTTTATTAATATTTGTGCGTAGCAAATTATACATGTACATGTATTTTCCCTTACATTTCAAATGGATAAACCATTTGTGCCCTTCTCGCAGGAAGAATTGACTGCATTATACCAGCTGCTTTTAAAAGATGTCCAGAGCATTACAAGATACCAGGTGATAAGGTTACTGGATATTCAAAGAACAATTGACACTGAAACCAAGTTGCCCTCATCAGTAGAAACCTTAATGCTTCTTCAGTTGACAGATTTGAAAGTGCTCTTTGATAAATGCAGGGGACATTCAAGTTTGAGGCAGCTTGTAAACAGTGTCCTGGTAGAGCATGGGATGGTTTTGCAAATACTGGTAAAGTACAAGGTGCTAAATTTGGTAATAGGCTTAATGATTGAAAATTTATTTTGTTATGCAGTACAGTACATCAGATAACATAAATTACAGTCTCAGTCATTGAAATTAGAATCAACTTGTGAAAGTGCTGGTAAATAAAAAGTAGATAAGATGCTTAAATCATTAAATAATTTAGTTGTGCTTTTGTTAACCATAAAGTAATTATATAAATGTTGTCTATCAAATATTCTAGGATATTTACTCAATTACTTAAAGGGACCATTCACATGAAAAATCTGTTTTTTTAAAATCTAAAAATCTATTGGAGGTATCTAGTGATCACAGTCTGTGCCCTGAATACTCCGCTGTGTTATTAACTAGCAGAGGGAGCGAGTTACTTCCAAAGCTGTAATTAATTCTTGGCTGCTCTAGGAGGAGATTTTCATACCTTGACACATGTGCAGTAGGAAGTTAGAAAGTAAATGGCGGTTGCAGTTGTTTTGAAAAAAGTGTTTGTCGATTTTGTGCAACAACAAGCACTAACACTAGCCATATTACGCGTCTGTATGCTTGAGTCGTCACAACTAAACTGATGAACTCCACAGCTTAGAGATATTACTGCACATGCGTCAAGGTGTCAGAATCTCGTCCAAGCGCAGCCAAGAATTGATAACAGCTTTGGAAGTAACTGGCTCACGCTGCCAGTAATTACGCCGTGGGGTATTCAGGGTACAGACCGTGATCACAAGATACCGCCAATAGATTTTTAGATTTTTAGAAAATAGATTTTTCATGTGAATGGTCCCAAAGACATATAATATTATACAAACATTGGAGCATATTAGAATATAAAAGAGTTTGGTGAGTAAACATCAGTCCATGTACACTCTGCATCTTTAGGTATTTTTTCATTTCAGTCTAGGTTTTTAAAAAGTCCAGACAAGTATATAAGATATGCTGCCAATAATGCTGCACAGTCTGCATTGAAATGTCTACCAGCCCAGGTGTGTCTCAAAATTTTGTGATATTGCTTAGTATAAAATTTTAGAAGTAAGAAAAAATGAACAGGTATCTGTTAGAATTCTCTGAAATATATTTTGATATTTTAATTAATCAAAATCCCTTTCTTTTCATAGTCAGTCTTTGCAGGATTCTTTGAAGCTTTAGATGCAGCACTGAAAGCAGAAAGTGAAAGTACAGGATATGTATTTGAATTATTTCATCGTTTCCTGTCTGATTGGAAGAGAGGCCTGGAACTACCCAAGTCAAGTTTAATAAGAACACTGCCAGCACCCTCAAAGGGAAATTTTCCACTCTGTCAGAAACAACATACTCAAGAATCTGATGGCATAAATAGCATGTTAGAGATTGACATCAACACTGTGTCAAATTTATTGACCATTGTCGATAAACATTGGAATTCTGTTGTACCAAACCTAATGGATAAGTGGCATAGATGGAATAACCTCACACAAGAATCATTCTTGTCTTTGTGGCTTGCCATTGTAAAATTGAGTCTGAATTCCAAAGTGAAGCAGATTTTAGGCAGTGGGATTACTGAACACAAGTGTCTGGTGTTTGTGTATACAGACCCTGACATCCTGCTTGATGCCTTAGCGTGCACTTCCATGAAACAAAGATTTATCAGAAGAAAAATTATAGACATATACCTCTGCTGTCTAGGTCACCCTGATGGTTTGGACAATCAAGCTAGAACTGAGAGTCTGGCCTTGATGATTCAGCAGAGGGTAGCTGAAGGTTGGTTAAAGAAATTACACTTGCCTAAAGGATTTGCTGGCTTTGGTGGAACCAGTATTCTTGCTAGTGAAGAATATTATGGCTCCAGTGACATTTCTCTTCTCAGATACATTTGTTTACTGGTGTTGAAATCTTCTGCAGCATTGGAAAAAATAGCAGGTAGACTAATGCAGATGTTTTCAAACCAATCTTTTTTTTAGTAGAAAAAAGGTCCATTAGAGACTTTATATCAAGTGCTAACAGTGTTTGATTGTTTTATCAAACACATTCAGGGTTGAACCTGTTATGCTGTTCAAATCATTAAACACCATATGTAATTGATATTTTTTCTACAAATCTTAGCTACAGTGGAAATTGTTTTCATCTTGCTACATTTAAATTTCAATGTAGTTGTTGTTTGTAGTATTCATGCTAAACTTGTCATGTGTCACTGTCTAGGTACATTAATTTGGTAATTTTAGCAATTTTTGTGATATCTTAATTGTTCTTCTAGAAAAGGCGCACATTATTGAGCTAGTAGGAAAATGCCTTGACAGTGTACTCCAATTTTCAAGTGACACTCTCCAAACAGGAACCACTTTTACATGGTGTCAACTGTTACAAGAGATATTTATAGATCAAGATGACTTAATGGTGGAAGCCATGCTCTACTTGTTGGTGGTTTATTTAAGGTCTCAAGACAGGTAAAATTGACCATTTTATATTATATTTCATAATTTTTGAGAATTATTTCTCTATGTTTTATAGAAGGTAAAGATAATATAGTCAGTGTCACTAGCATAAGATAACAATTGTTTTATTGGAGTTAAATGCCTGCTGGGATTTTGAAAGTCTGTGTCTTATTATTTATGTACACAGTTATTTTAATTTCTCGTTCCTTTTATATTGCAGCTCTCCAAACCCTCACTTGATCCTTTCTTTGTTCCTGTCCACCATATCACATGACCATACTGTCCTTCTGGACATGTTAATATCACCAGAGACATGCTTCTTGGTCTATCTGGTGAAGTATCTAAAACTAGTTCAACATGATTGGATGGGATTTCAGTCAAGTCTTGGTAAAGACTCTACCAGCAGTTTAGCAGACATGCTCTTAATTAGTAAAGAAAGTGCAAAGTCTGGTAATTGTAGTTTTTGGACTTCAGAGGAAAGCCACAGTTCTGGTAAAAAAATAACTAATATAGTTGGAAATGATGAACTCCATGAAAAGACATCAGCAGACAGATGTAAAACTGTTTCATCAAAATCTAAAGATACATCACATATGGAATCAAAATGTGGATTTACTGCAACAGTAAATCTTGTTGATTACTCGGATAGTGAAAGTGAGCAAGACTACGAGGGTGAATTGGAAAGAAATAGCATGCTTTCAGTGAGAGAAAGTGCACTTGACCAAACATTAGGTGTGTTTATCAGACTGAAGATGTCATTAGAGAGAATGTCTGTTCAAAATCTAATTCCTTTCAATGTACATCCATTACTAAAACTTATTTCACAAGTGGAATGCCTTTATGAAAGATAAGATAATCACAGTTATACAGGTATTTCCACTTAAATATTCCTGTTATATCAAGCAATAGTTTGAAATGAATTGTGGAAGGTGTAGGGGTGTGCAAATAAATAAAATGATATATTGAAATAATAAAAAAAAAAGAAATGGGAATATGAGGTTTATTTACTGAAAGCATTTCTTCTGTACTTGTAGATATAAAACGTGCATTTTTCAATTTCAAAGATTAATGGGCACGACATCGATGTCAATAGCAAAGTCATGATAGATCAAGATGTATGTTACATTTTTTGTAAGATTCTGTGTATCAAAATATGAACAAACCTCATTGCATCCCTAAGATATGACTGTTGTTGTAGTAATACAAGCGTTGATGTGGAATACTTTTAAAACAAGCTAAATGATTTGGTTAAGTGCATTATTGAAAATGAGATATAGAGGTTTTATTTTCAGAAAAGTAATATCCAATGACTTGACATATTTTGATTAACCTACTGTTTGACTTCTGCCTACTTTCAAACTGTTTGGTCTATGTTTCAACCGGTCTTTCACATGAACTATTTTAGAAAACTTCCTCCATCCAAATAATTACCAAAAAATCATCGCTATATTTTATTGAGGAAAAGGATAAATTTAATCCTTCTTATTTGTCTTTATTCACACCTGTACAATCTGTTGATAATGCCTTCATTCCTACTATAAAATATATATTATTGAAGCAATGTTCATTAACTTCTGTAAATAGATAATTTTTTCTACAAGAAGGCATAATTCAAGTGACATTGAGTTCAGTAACTTTGTTATTTCCAAACTCTTTCAATACATTCAAATCTAAAAATGAGAGGATAGTGCTGATCCCCCAAAAGGCCCACCACAATATTCAGTTCCTGCAGACATGTCCATCACCGCCTGTATCTGTACCGTTTAAAGTGGAACCACAGTTGAAAAATGTTATTATGGAATTGACAACGGAATCCCTTCTTGTATGAACATTCCCACTCTCTGCTTACTATCTTGAAAGCTATATCCTAAAAAGAAATTTTAAAATTATACATTGGTGAATAAGGACTTACATAAACTGAGTAATTCACTCAGATAGTGCGAGGGCAATTTCTTTAATCAACAACTACAGTGAAATTATTGTTTGGCTACTATTTTGCAGGCAGAGTCTGTATTAACAACCTGAAAAGGTGATTAAAACCACTGGCATATTGGCTCTCAAGTTACTAACTCTAAGATAAATAAGGACTAGTTACAATCTACATACATTTGTGTGGAATGCTTATACTTCTATTAGAGAAGTTCGTATAAAACTTATAAATCTTACAATTTAAGAAAAGCACTTCCATATTTTACTCTTTCAGACAGTTAAAATTCCTATAAAAGCATGCACTGATCTCTACCTCATATGGTGGTCCTGCACTGAACTTTAGAGTAGCAAAGTCCTTATTGTCTGCACATGGTGTCTGGAATACAGGTATTAAAATTATGAAAATATTTTGGAGCAATAGTTACCAATTTGTATTTATCATAATTTAGGAATGATCCAATTAAAATCTTCATTTATTTATTTTTGGGTTTTTTTAATATAAACCACAACATGAAGTAGTAAAAATACTTACCAAACTAAATTGTGGGGTTTTTGTTTTATCTATTAAATCTGGGTAGAAAATCTGAAAATATACAAAAGAAGATATATATATATATATATATATATATATATGTGTATAGATACAACATTTCCCACTACAATTGGCCTGACCTGATAATTGACAATAAAAACATGATTGAAGTAAAGAAAAGTCAACAATACTACATGTCTACTATCAAATTTTGAATAAGACTGTGACTTACATTGAATTTATATCCTTGGACAATCTTTGGAGGTGGGTTGTCCATGTCATAATGAGTCTGGTTGTATTTATTCCATTCAAAACCCTATTATAGAAAATAAAGAATTGGTGAAAGCATGTATCAAAGATAATCAAAATTTTCAAGACAATTAAAATTCCTTTAACAAAACAAAACAAAACAAATTGGATAAGGTAATTTAAACTTTAAGAGATGCATTTGGAGTAGATTTTTTGCTATAAAACTCAACCGAATGCCATCATATAGTTTCAGATAGCATAACTTATGTATTTATCAAAAATGATTTTTGAACAGGTATTTTCTGCTTTGTTTCTGTGGTATATATAATTTCAGTGACTCATTTGAATAACTGTGCATGCAGCAGTAATGGGCTATACATTACTCTTCATTTGGCAGACTTTTATGTACTGGAGGGATGGACAAGTAGGTCAATTTATGACCAGAAATTTTAAGAAGGTGCAGTTTAGCTCCTTTATGACTGACTGAGTAATTAATTTTTTTTTTTTTTTGCCTTGGCAAATCAACTTTTTTGCATTGTATAAGAAACAACTAAAAGTTGTTTTAATGTCTTACAGAAAACCTATGCTTGCTTCAAATGTAACTTTAACAGAAAAGCAAAGTAGCAATTATTATAATCAAATGCTTCATAAAACTTACTGTGTGTACTCTGTTAAAGAACCTTGGTTTCCTAGGTCTGTATTTATCTGACCAAGCCATGGTCTGTTCTAGCTGTACCTCCACACTGAATGTAGCTTCATCATCATTCATCCCCTCTCTGGCACGCTTTTCAAACTCACTTTCTCTTTCTGTGTCAGTCTGAAACAAACAGATCATCATTATGGGAATTACTATTATTACTGTTTAAACATTTTACAAGAATCATTCTTTCTTTTGAAAAAGTCACTGTTTTGGTAAGCCTTTGCTACAAAATATGTTCCCGTATCACTTATATGTCAGCAAGAAACTGGTAGTGCACAGTCTTGTTTTCATTGCATGTAGTCTATAAGTAACTTTCAAAATACACTATTAAAGGAATTTACAAACAACATTCATAGGGCTGTGTCAATATGAAAAGTTTATCATCTACCTGTGCTTTCCCTGTTCTTCTAACTTGTAATCTGAGATGCTCCAGTCTTTTCATATCATCCTCAGGATCATATACAATGGTATCTGCCTCCAGGTCAGAGTGTTTTAGCAGTCTGGGTGAATATTGTCCTAGTTGGTACTCTTCACAGCTCTGCTCCAGCAAATCTTCCTCAGTTATAAGTGCTTCAGACCTATTCACAAAAAAATAAAACAAACAGTCAGGCAAATATAAGTTGGTTTCAAGCAAAACTTCAAGAATTCAGACATCCACAATATTGCTAACAGAACTTCAATTTTATAAATTACAATTCTCTGGAAAAAAAACATACAATTCGTCACACTTACTCTTCTTCATCCTCCCCGTACTCTTCATTTTCTTCTTTCCCTTCTGGGTTTTGTTCAGTGCCTACCAATGGAGCAGGCTCTTTAAATTCACTGATATTGTTTGTTGCTGTATCTTTAATTTCAGTTGAGCAACTGGGTCCTGCAGAATCCCTTTCAGTTGCTCTCTCACTGGAACCAGCATCTGTCCCTGGCTCTTGTTTAATAATTGGAAATATGGGATCACTCTCTATTCCTTGCTGCAACAGAAGTATTGAAAAAGACACTAATTTTGAAGAAGGCAAGACATAGCTATGAATATCTGCTTGAATAAAATATTCATTATGGGATACATTATAAATCTTAACAATAAATGCCAGAATCAGATAAAGTCTTGATTTAACCTGAACCCCACCTCTTGCTTTAACCTGAACAGTTTACTCTTTAAGACATCTTGATGTCTCTCTCTCAACCTTGTTCTTGCCATGTGTGCTTTGAGCTGTTCAAGGAGGGATTCCCAGTAACCTAAAGATACAACAAATTCTATGTGTAGGTGTTTGCCACTTCTATCTCTAAAATCCTCAATAAAGATAGTAACAAATAAAATGTGAGTAAGAGGCCAAATATGAGAAGCTTTTGACATAGGTGCTTACAAACGCTACATCATTAAGGTATTAATTTTTATGTACACATATGGGTAATAATTATTTGGCCAAGGTATAATTAAACAAAGCATCTTGGCAATAAAGTGTATTTAAATAGGTAAATGAACACTGAACCTCACCAACATCTACCCCTTCTCCACCTTTCAGTTTCTTCTTGATCTGCTCTTTTAGTAATAATAGCTGGTTGTGAGTTTTGCCCTTGAAAACACTTGACACATCAGAACTGACAGCTTGGTTAATACCTTCCCTTCTGTCACCAACATAATCTGAAATATCAAAAATAAACTGAATCCAACACTCAACATAATCTTAAGTGAGACTGTGCAGCTTCTAAGTGATTAGTTATGTCTAAAATCATTAATTTGTGTCAAAAGGGAGCAGCTCTATGACCCACTTTACTCCTAATTATAATCATCCATAAACATATTTAAACAAATACAATGCACAGAAATATACTTTCATAACTTACACTGACTGCTAGGGTCTATTTTTCTCAGTTTACTGAGTTCATCATGGGTTACTATAGTAATGTCTCTCCAGAAGTCTGCATTCTTGTCCTCCTCCAGTTCTGAATACACCTTGATGTCTTCCAGTAAATCTTCCAAGTCTTCTATCGTTAGACCCTACAACAAACACAGCAAATTATTATATTGGAAAAGGCAGCTTGATGGAATATATTCACTGAAAGCAGTTTTTGATAAAGTTTTTGACTAATTTCCCTAAATATTAATTTTATAAATATTAGCATCATATCTAATAAAATGGAGAAAAATAATAGACCCTGTTTCATGTGACAAAGAGCAATATAGAGTACATGTGCAGGTAAGCTATCATGTACATCATATTCTAAGCTTACATATAGTAGCAATCCATCCATAGTCACTTACATTGAGATATGTGTAAGGTTCATGCATTTCCACAGTGAGATCATCATCTTCGGCACTAATGTATTTGGCCAGCAAGTCTATGGGTTTGGCTTTGGGGAGAAAATAAAAAGGAAATAAATTAAACAACAAATAAACATTTTTTATCTTATCATTTCTTAAAGAATATCATGTTATCTTACTATTATTTATAATAGATAGATAAATAAAGTTATATCAAACCTAAAGGACCTCAAGTATCGTGTAATCATCTTGATCATATGATTTTTCTTATTTCTCAAATATTAATAGTAAATAAAAATAAAAATAACAATTCTGTGATCACTGGTTATTAAAATTACTTCATCTCTTAGAAGTTTCACTGCTGTCACTGATAGATTTGATGTAACTAACAGTGTATGAAAGTACAAGGAACACTCTCCTCTGGTAAACTTAAATAAATATTAAGATTTTAATTCTTTTCAGAAACTGGAAGTTGGTTAGGTTCTTGGAGAACTGATGTGATATGATCATGATGGAGAGTTTTGATAGTAACTATTTTGAAGTCCTTAGGAATAACTCCATTATGAAGAGATGCACTGAATAATGCATTGATGATAGGGCCCAGTAATAGTATACTTGTATGCTGGGTCCTAGATAGCACATTGATGTAATGTAACACCTCACAGAATGTAATCTACAGTGAGATCAGTAAGAAGAATATCAGAAAATATTGGCTTCAATTCACTTATCAGATTTTAGATTGTCATCATTTAACAACTCCGTAAAGGGGTTCAAAAGAAAAGTTTGTGATAGTCAACTTACCTCTGCCATCCTCTATTCTTATTTTCGACCTCAGCTTAGCTTGTTGTAAGTGGAACTGCAAGACCAATTAAATCAAAATTTAAGAAAATTTAACAAATGCAGTTAGTAGTTACAGCACCATTAATTTTAAATAAAAAACATCACTTAAGGTGACTAATTTCCCTCTGGTACAGCTTTGTAAGCAGAGAAAATGAAGTGGCCCTAACCTGTTTACATGTTAACACCTTGACTAACACACACACTATTACATAATCATAGAAGAAGGGCAGATTAAGTGTATGCTCTACAGGAGTTAAAATCTCTCTTTAGAAGACATTTTGACACATTTTGTTTCTGGCAAAAAAATACTTTTTCTCCAAATTTATTTAAAATGGATTAACTGATCAATTTAGACCATTCTGTAGACAATGTTAAATTTTCAACAGTCATAATAGCTTTTCTTCAATGAAAATTTATTAAGCTGGCACTAGCTCTTTGCTGTTCTATTTGGTTAATTAAGGTAAAAGTTGGCCAAAATCAGAAGTGCTCTATCAGTGTAATTTTATAAAGGTATTGTAAATCTATGCTGGTATTCCACACTTACAGTATCTTCTTGTCTTTCCCAGGCTTTGTAGTAGTCTGATTCTTTGTCCCTCTGCATCATTTCCTAAAAAACAGCACAATTATCAATAAAAGCTAATAGAGGATTAAATGTTCTTTGTGATATTTCTTTCGAGAGAAATGCCAAAAAGGGGACAAAAGATAGACCAACATACCCTTTCTTTTTCTCTTTCTTCTCTTTCTTTTTCTCTTTCAAGCCTCCTCTTTTTCACTTTTTCCAGCTCTCTCTACAATGTAAACATGAATATCATAAGTGCATACAGCACTGAATATTGATTAAGACAAATAATACAGGCACAGTAGATTAAGTGAGAATTATCTTGTGTTTCCATTTAAAAATATCAAATAAACCAGAAATGCTGATTATTAATGTAAATGGTTTAAGACATGTCTAACAAACTGGTTGATATTCTTTATCCAATATATTTGCTCATCATATATTAGGTTTCTGCTTTTGTGTACATTAAGTCTACAAATTACTTTAGTGTCTTCCATCTGTTGCCTCTGATACGTATGAAACTCTTCATCCTTCTTTCCAGTCTTCTCTAGTTTCTTCTGCCAAACAAAAGTATTCAAGAGACGTTCATCACCAAAGGGGTTGTCCTCATTTGTGTATCCTAGATATTCCTCATCCCATCCCATTTGCTGCTTCATTTTACGTGCCTTTACCTCCTACCAATTTGATGAAAACGTTCAGAGCAATGGAATATAATGACCTTTTCAAAATTATTTTTTTTGTCAGTTACTGAGCAACAGATGTTGGAAGCATGAAGATATTTATCTACTTTTATAGTTATGTAAATGCATTACATCTACTTGCAAACATACAAATTCATATCGTAAAAATTAAATCTATCTATTACATTATCTAAAATTAAAGCTTTTTGGAAATTATTACCAACTGTTTACCTTTTTAGCCAATCGCCTAGCCCTTTTCTCCTCTGGAGTTTCTAATGCTTTAAGAAGTTCTTTTTGCTTCCTGAAACAAACATCTTTCAAATAAAATACAAATAAAGCATAGGGATTTGATTTGTCATAAAATACAACAATGAACATTGTCAAAATTTTACTTTGCTTCAAAGAGGAAAAGCAAAATGTCATACTGTTTCTCTTCTTTTGTCATATTGTTCCAGTTCGGTTCATCAGGTTCCCTCTGCTCTCTATTATTCTTGCTAGATCTACTCCTCTCCCTTGACCTTGATCTTGATCTTCTTTTCTTTTTGGACGATTTTTCATGTGATCTGGACCTTTCTCTGTGTCTTTTGTGTTTTCTATACTTTTCATCATCTGAAGACATGTCTGAAGAACCATCAGATACCTCTGAAGAATCAGATCTGAATGAAAGAGTTCAAAGAAAACAACTGAAAAACATAAACATATAATTTGCAATCTGGGCATCATAATGATAAACCAAAATGTTAATTTAATGAAAGCATCTGGTACACAACCTTAAATGAATTTTTTAAAAAATTAAAATATGATATTTATTGGGTCTAAACTAATTCTTTTTAAAAGTATTTTCAACCCTTTTTAGCCTTCACACAGGAACTCATGCAGAAACCCTGCAACAGATTGATTAATGATTGTGAGGGAAATAGGATCTCATACATGCGCAAAACAATCCAAAGGAATTTTTCAAGAAATTTAGAAAAAGGACAAGCACTAACAATAATGGACTGGAAGCAGACGACTTTTTCCTACATTTTAAAAACCTTTGTCAGACGACCAACCTGCCAATAACCGTGCTCTGAACAATGCAGATGAATACTTGACACACGCTATATTTGAAGAGCTTGATGAAGAATTTACTAACAAGGAAATAAAAGCAGTTGTTCAAAACAGCCGAGGTCTAGATCATACTTTCAATGAGTTTTATAAAAAGATTCCAACACATAAACATACCACTCATTCACCAAACTATTTAATAAGATTTTAGAGATTGGTATCTTTCCGTCAGTGTGGAAAAAGCCATAATGGTACCTATATTTGAAAAAGGGGATCCTACAGACGCTGGCAATTATAGAGTTATTTCACTTTTAAGTCATACAACAAAAATATTCACCTCTGTAATCAATAATAGACTAATGAAATGGAGTGCCAACCATGATGCAATATCTGACAGTCAATACGGGTTTAAACCAGGGAGTAGGACATGGGACGCCATTTTTTCCCTGTGTGGAGTAATTGCTGACACGCTTAGAAGGAAAAAGCAATTATATTGTTGTTTCGTGGATTACGTGAAAGTGTTTGATTCAGTTACTAGAAATTTATTATGGGGAAAACTAATAAAAGAGGGACTTACTGGAAAGCTGCTAAAAATAATTGTTAGTTTATATACTGAATTTTAAAGGTACATACGAACCGAGCATCGGTGGAACATGGATTCCCAGTAATACATGTAAACCACTTCTACTAGATTCTTATATGACTCAAATAAATTCGACATGCTAAGGGATAAACTGAATAGATCACTCGATCAGCCATAAAAGACCTTTGAACTGTCCTTTCTTTAAATTTTTGGTTGTAAATTTAACCTACTTTCGTGACCTACTTACCTGCCCCATTGACATACAGCTTAGAATGCCAACAGAAAAATCCGATCAAACATCATTTTCGGGTAAAATTAAACAATGCCTTTTGGTAATTCTCTTAGTTATAGTACTTGAAACTATATGCTGGCATTTGGTTGGTTTTTGTGACAAAAAATTGATTTTGTATGCATCTTTAAGCATGTGTTAGAAATAAGGCCCCGAATAGCACTTACTTTGATGTTGACATAGGTCTACCCCAGGGGGAGGCACTATCACCTCTGATGTATTCTATTTAGGTGAATGACCTTGAGAGCTTCCTGTTCTCAGAGAAGTGTAATGGGTTGCAGTTAAGGGATTTGAATCTGTACTTATAGCTCTATGCAGATGACACTGTATTATTTTCAGAATCTGTCACAGAACTCCAAAATATGTTAGACAAACTCAAACTATATTCAGATGATTGGACAAATCTTATATTGTAGTGTTCAGAAATGGTGGCTTTGTGGCAGACCATGAAAACTGGCATTATAATGGTAAAAAATTGGAGGTTGTGAATCATTTTTTATACTTAGGACTGGTCATAATTATAATGGAAAATTCTCCCTCACTCAGAAGTCTATTGCAAGTCAAGGCACTCCAAAAGCTATATTCAGATGATTGGACAAATCTTATATTGTAGTGTTCAGAAATGGTGGCTTTGTGGCAGACCATGAAAACTGGCATTATAATGGTAAAAAATTGGAGGTTGTGAATCATTTTTTTATACTTAGGACTGGTCATAATTATAATGGAAAATTCTCCCTCACTCAGAAGTCTATTGCAAGTCAAGGCACTCCAAAAGCTATGTATGGAGCAAGAAACTCATGTCCGAACATGAAAATTTATGTTGAAACAGAGATTTTTCTTTTTGACACTTATGTATTACCAATTATGAACTATGCAAGAGAAACATGGGGTTTTCACAGGTCTAATGAAATAGAAAAAGTTCATCTGCACTTTTGTAAATTACTATTGGGGATAAACAAAAAAGCTACAATGGCAGTGGTATACAGTGAATTGGGAGGATTGCTTCAAAAACTCAATAGATACATTAGTATTGTGAAATATTGGCTGAAACTCTTGACTACTGACAATTGCATTTTAAATGGTGTTTACATGAATCTTCTTGAGACTTGTACTGTAATGACCATGAAAATTGGGCTATACAGCAGTAAGAAGATTATTATCAAATCTTTATGTAATAGGGTACATGTATTTCATGTATTCACGGGTATAAATATATATATATATATGTAATAGTATATTGTAGCGTACATTGATATAAGTGCCTTATTATAAATAGCTCTTGTATATAAATATATGATATGAATATGCATAGTGGTGTTAGCGCCCTTTTTATGTCACGTGGGTCATGTGACCCTAGACTATAAAAGCGGTTGGCGCGTAATTAAAAGTGAGATACACCAGTGATCGGCTGTGTAGATACAGTAGTACGAATAAAGATTTTTCTAAAAGGACAATACATTTGTTGTCGTGCCACGGTTACATTTATATTCACATTCATTAAGACCACACTAACCACTACACTCTCCAATGTGTAATTCATTAAGTGTCTGCTCTTCTGCGGCTGGAGATAGTTGTTGTTTAATTAAAAAAAGGAAAATGCAACATACGTTTCCAAAGTCTGTACAAATTATTACAATTGTGTGCTTCTAAAGTTTCCAAGATGCCCCCAAGGGCTGACAGTGGTGATGGTACAGGGCATTTAATTACAGTTGTTGTTGAATGGCGATGTATTAGGTTTATGATTGTTTTAAGTTATTGAAATTCAAATGAATCTTGTATTGTAACATACTAACAATGCTAACAAATCGGGGACTTTGGTAAGCCATTGATTACGTGTTTTTCAAATTGCCCTTATATCTACAGACCTTTTTCTCCTCTTTCTTTCTATTGAATCTCGTGATCTAGATCGTCTCCTTTGTTTCTTCTTGTCTCTGTTTCCCATTTCACAACAAAACAAGATCAGGCTAACTAAAACGTTGAAGAGATGAGCACGCCGGAAGTTTTCTTTCGATCGAATCGCAATGCATTGTGGACATTTCCGGTGGGAAAAAATTATAGAAGGGTAACCAACGACGCTGACTGATGTTCCCTTTCAACGCCTTTACCATGTAATAAAGTCACAACCACGAACATTCGAGTAGAACAGATGTAAAGATTAAAAAAGCAATCTGACTTACCGAACAATGGCTTTGCAAATTGATGATCAAGATTCAAAACCGACGGATATGGCAGACGGCGCAGGCATTCAGGCAACGAACACCAACAAAGTCGACATTCCAGCAATGGATGACTTACTGCAAGACCTAGAGACTCTAGATCTGACTGAAGAAGAAACTGAAAACCTGTTAGGAGAAGCACAGCGAATTAATAAGATATTAAAAGCCAAATTAAAAGAACAAGAAATGCAAGAAGCTGAGATACAGAGTCAGAAAAGGAGGAATTTACCACCGATTGAAAGAAGTCAGCTTTCTTCTGCAAAAAAGTTGTATGGAACCTCAGTTACGAGAGTGTCGAAATCGGGATCTAGCTGCTCAAGGTCAAGCCCAAGCAAACTGTTGGGGGTAATTATATGACATAATGACATAATTTGCCCAATATTGGCTGAGAAGAAGCAGTGCATTAAGAATATTGTTAGCCTTTATTACCATCCAGGCACCGATAACGAGTTTTTTCCTTCATCTAATTATTCAATAATGCATGTATCTTTGTGCTGATTTAAAACAATGAAAAAACTCTTGAATATATAAAATATTGTTGTTTATGTTTTTTTTTCATTGCAATGTTTAAGCATAGGCAACTCAAAGCTTTAGTAGTCTTTTTAACACCTATTTTGAGGTGACATAGCAGGTATGGGGCATAACTTCATCCCTGAACAAGATTTTATCATGAGAATTGGCACAGTGGACCGCAAGAGTATGAGCTACAATCCCGTTTTCAGCGTTTTGGTTTAAATATTTTTGTTATGGAGTTATGAACCACTGGTTATAGATTTTCATTAAACAAAGGCATTATTTTGCTTTATCAGCAATTATATCTTAACTAAGACTTAAAAGAAAAATTGCTGGCAGGGTTTTGGAGCACTATATGGTGTCATTAAATTGGCATTGAAAAGGTGATCATGGATGCCCAGGTAAAAGAAAAATTTGAGAAACTGATTTTACAGTTTTTACCCCAAAATCGCAATTATGATGTCACCCAGAAGATGACATGAGTAAATGTCACTTAATAGTCACTGATCACTTAAGATTTATGTACATATTACCCAAAAGAATGTATGTAAGGCAGTGAGTAAATAAGGAGTTTTGGGCAAAGGGTGACAATATCCTTAGCACTATTAATGAATATAGTATATATTTTTCAATTAAGGAAGTATGTAATTCCTTGGTTAAATGCATCACTAAATATTGTGTATGATGAACAAAGCATATAAGATTATTTTTTTCTTGAGACTAATCCAGAACTTTGTTGCAATTAATTGAGAATTATTTCATATTGTCATTATTTGTAGCATTATTTAGTATTCACTATACATATCCTGGCTTGATAATGCTTTTTTTTTTATTTTCAGGAACAAGCTAGACCCAAGTCATTAGATAGTGCCAGAGTTAAAGCTCATTCAAAGACTGCTCAAAAGGTGAAAAAGCAGGAGTCTCAAGGTGGAAAACAACCTTGGAATGACAGATTTTCATATGAATGACAGGGTGGTGCAATAGATTTCTTGAAAAGACCAATTTTTAACTCTTAACATTCCAACCTCATGTAAAAAAAAAAATCAAAATTGATATTTTTCAGAAATTATTTTTAATGGTTTATATAAAGCCACTTGTTGCATTACTGGACTGCTGTGAACCAAGATGGTAACTTTCTATTGGAGTTGAGGTGTGACTATTTCTTTGTAAATTTCATGTACACAGTCTTACTGTAACAATAAAATGTATGGTGCCAAAGTATTTCAAAAGGTTTCATACCAGACTTTTGTCTCAAAACTTCCCTTTTTAAACAATCTGTCCCAATTCCCAAAGGCATGCCACCATTAAATTTAAGAAATCTCTCGCCCTCTCATTAAGTGAAAATCAAATACTGCAACTATGCATTTCCTCTAAATGATATAAATTGACTTAACTTGACTTTTTCTAAATATTTCAAATAAAAATGAAATTTTAGTACTCAGTATAAGCAAAGTTTATTATTATGGGTACAAAACACTGTACATGAGTTTTTACAATTCATTAACCGAAACAATTTCAGCCATACCACCTCAACACAGCATTGGTCTGGTGCAAGGTTTCCATTCATTTCAAAACACCCAAATATAATAATACATAAATACTACTTAACTGCACATGTATGTTCATAATCCTAATCCAAGTCCTGCCCAAAACTTGTGTACTTATATTTGCAATTACAATGTGCTCCGACTGAAATAATTTCTTCACAAGACAAAGATCACAAAACATTTTTGCCAATTTTCAAGTAACACACCCAGTAAATGAAATAAAGGTGGAATTTACCTGTATTTCAAACTTTCATCTGGTATATCTAAAAACACACTATATCCAGTATCCTGCAGTCAATTCAAGGCTACCTGCTGCTGTCATTCATTGCATTTTGACATACCCAGTAGCAGCAATGAATATTCTTTATGACAAAAACAACAAAATATATATATATATATTGTACCCAATACTTGTATCAAATTGAACTCTAGACTGAAGTCCTGGGTTCTAAATTTATCTACAAGGAAAATGTATTTATTAACATTGCTATGACTTTTTTGACAAAATCAGCAATCGGCCAAGCAGTACCAAAGCCTCTACTAAGCGGTATTGAAACAAAAAGAAAAAAAAAAAGAAAGAACCTTTTTCCATAAAGTAACATAACAAATAGCCTGTCTTATATGTAAAAGGGTCATCTAATAAAGCCCCTGCCCACCCCTTCACTTAACAGCAGGAAGCAAACTTATGAAGAAATTGTGAAAGTGAATACCCCCCCCCCCCCCAAAGTGGACCAGTCCAGACTGGATCAATTAAGTATATAGCTTGATGTGAAAAGGGCCTTTGTCTCTAGAAAATTTGGCCCAGCCTCTTTCATAGACAAGATGCATTCCTAATTTATCTATTGCTTAATATCTGTATCTTACAGCAACTTAGAACAAGATCTCATAACAGGTAAATGACGTCCCTTATAAAGAGACATATCAACAACTAGCAATTTTGGATGAAAATACTTTAAAAACAGCACTGTATTTTGTAACTTTGGCTATAACATTAACTATCCTTTGATCTACATCCTTCATTTACATTAGTCTTAATGGGAAACATTACTATTTTGTGGTCTGCAGACCTGTTACTTCATTGTTACAATATTAGACCCATCATAGAATGCCTAAAACACTGTTTACAATGTTCATCCTTGGTTCAAAAAATACAAAAAATAACAACTTGAAGTTTAATGTGACCTAAACATTCACTCAGCCCTTTAAAGATTTTTTTCCTTGCAAATGAGGCCCGAACTTTTTCATATGTTGATATTTAACTTCTTGCTCATAGGAAGAACATTAATACAAGGGCACATATGGATGATATACAACATGATATTATTGGTGAAACTACTTTGGCATCTAAAGGATTGCAACAAAAATTATATTCTAAGGTACACATTCTTTCCTTTGTGAAGTACCATCTGTGAAGTAATCATCTGTGACCACTACTTACAATGTCATTCATGAAGAATGCTAAATAAGCAGCAAATAAAGAAGATTGTGTAAATTGTAAACATTCACATATTTGAAAATGCAAAATAATCTCCAATATGTACTGTTCAGAATGAGAAAGAAAAAGTAACATACAAATGTAAAAACCAGTTATGTGTCAACATCTTTTATGTCTTCCATGTAACAACACATCCATCTATATTGGTGTTCTCTGCAAGCTGTTCTATTACTGACACAAGCTTTCAAACATACAGGTTGACAGTGTATTTGTAATCAGCAATGTATTGTCACAGCCTCTGCATTGACAAATGTTCCAAATATTCAGTGCTGTTTCTCATGATGTTGATACCAGTTTACTTTGCACCAAGGATGACTTCCTGTGTGGGACAGAATCAGGTGTTGGAATCTCATCACCAGTAACTTCCTGAAGTAGTGCCTGTTTAGTTTCCTCTGCTTGTTGGGGGGCAAGGACTTTCTTCTTATTCACTATGGCCTTGGCCATATTATAATCTCCAGAGTCAAAGTATTTCTGCAAACAATAATTAAAATGTATAAAACATTCAATTACTGTTATAATTTATTATTTTTTACACTATATTTTTAACACTAAGGTAATTTACTGTTTAATATTATGAAGTTTCATCAAAATCCATCACAAATAATTTCATTGGTAAAGCACCCATTTTCTGCACCATTAAATTAAAGAAAAATACATTTATTTTAGACAAACCAATTAGTTAGGTACAACTAGACAGCAAAGCTGGCAAAAATACACACACCACACAGGAAACAAGGCAGCAAAGCTGAAAAATGTTCAGACATTCAGAAAAGAGTGCACCAAATGTTTTGGCCAATTTTGATGCACTATTACATAATGCTTTAAAACAGCATAATCACTCTTAATCTCTTACATCATGTACTACAGGTAACATGGACACTGAAAAACTAGTAAGTGATTCAGTTTCATGGCCAATAAAAACCATTTGTCTGTATATAAAAATGACACACACACATACACAAAATCATACCGCTTTGTGTAATCTTTTTTGTAACAGAGCTGAGGCCCCTCCTCTTCCTGCTTTCATGTTTGGATATTTGGCTTTTAATTTAGCCTCTTCAATCTGCATCAGTGTCTGTCCACTCTTAAAAATAAGACCAAACAAATACATCAAAGGTGCAGTTAACACCATATTTTTTATCAAGAACAAAGCTGTTGTTTTTAACCCAACTGATGCAGAAATGCTCCAGGGTGTGGATTTTGTTTACCTTTGACAAATTCAAGAATAAATGATAAATGATAGTTGATTACTCCCTAACAGCTTCAGAAGACATCAAGCCAGACATCAAGGTCGCTTTAGTGATTGCAAGTAAGCGAGAATCCCCTTGGAGATGGACCGATCCCGCTAGACAGTATGGGAATGTGGTCAAATACACTTGTCACTTTCTCTACTCATTATCACATATGAACAGAGTTGGTTTTTATATCTACTTTAATATCTATGTTATTGACAAACAAATGCCAAACAGTGAAAATTAATGAATCATTTTATTTCCCATCAACTGATTTAAGAAGGGCTTAAATCTTGCTTTAAATTGCTAAAAGTCCATGGGTATAAATACTGTGATCACACTGAGTTAGAAAGGACAGCAAAATTATTTCAAATAAAATAGCTGCACTATAATTAAAGGAGGTCGATCTTTGATGCTGCAAGCATTCCCTGGTTCTATAACATAAAACTAAAAAAACACCGAAATAAAACAAGTTACTGTGAGCCAAAAAATTGGATTACGATAAGGTCTTACCAAAACAATTTTCCACACTAACAGATGAACAAGAAGCTCGCTAATTTGCATTCATCAGGTTGGTTCCAACCAGTTGTTAAATAGCTAATCGAAACTATACTGTTAAAAACCAACTCTGTACACATTAAATCTTCCTTAAATTACCTCTTGGGAAGAATCTGAGGATACGGTAGAGCTCCTAACCTCAGCCGACGGCTCCATTTTACTTCTAATCAACGTACTTCACAAGACTTCGTACTCAATATGGCAGCTATGGAAATGACGTCAGATAGTTGCTCAAAGTACTTCCTGTAGAATATTAACCAATGGCATTTTATAACTTTCAGCATTCGGCACAGTGAATCCAACATGTCGCTGTCGTGAGAGGTCTTTTTAAATTTTGAAGATATGAAAGTGTAAAGAAGTAGATCAACTTGTGACCATGGGACTAAAAGCAAGAATGTGGATATTGTTCATCCTTATTTCAATAATACATGCGGGTGGAATATTAATATTCATCAAAGGCTTTCTTTTAAAGCGATCAGTTGTACTGAAAAATAACACTTGCCATGTAGACTTCACGATGAAGGTGGATAATCACGAGGAAGAAGGATGTTGGATGCATAGGCGGTTTCAGAAGGCAATTGTCATAATTATAGACGCTTTAAGGTTTGATTTTGCTTATTATAATACATCGATAATTAAGGGCCAAGAACTTCCTTTTGAAAACAAGCTAAAAATCATCCACGAGAAGCTAATTCATTCTCCTCAGAAATCACGACTGTACAGATTCATAGCAGATCCCCCAACCACAACCTTACAGAGACTCAAAGGCTTGACCACAGGCAGTCTTCCCACTTTTGTTGATGCTGGATCAAATTTTGCTAGTTCTGAAATTACTGAAGACAACATCATAGATCAGCTGAGACGACAACAAAAATCAATTGTCCAAATGGGAGATGATACATGGGAAGGTCTATTTCCCAATAGGTTTATTAGATCTTACCCCTTTCCCTCTTTTAATGTGAAAGACCTGCACACTGTGGACAATGGTATTATAAAGAACTTGATTCCCGAGCTAAAGAAGTCTGGGTGGGACATGCTTATTGCCCATTTCCTTGGAGTTGATCACTGTGGACACCGCTTTGGACCATATCATCCAGTAATGGGAGAGAAACTTACACAGATGAATGATGTATTGAGGTAGATTTGGGCTTTTATGATGTGTTCTTTCATTATGGCTGATCAGTATAATTGAAAACTTTAACTTCTTAGTTTGATATTTTAAAACTTAGATTCACTATCAGATGGATTCTCATTGTCATAATTTAATTCAGATCTGTGATAAAAACCATGGACAATGACACTGTGTTGTTTGTGCTTGGAGACCATGGAATGACTAGGACAGGTGATCATGGGGGAGACAGTAAAGATGAAGTTGATGCAGCATTATTTGTGTACAGTCCATCAAAGTTAACAGAAACTGTGGCCCCAAAGGTATGAAATTATCTCAGAGATTTTCAGTTTTCTTAAAATATATTCATGTATTTTTTGTTTTGTTTTGCAGTTGACAAAAAATTCTAAGAACATTGATTAAATATATATGTGTGAGAAATGCAAGTGACAAATGTATTTTTATAAAATTGCCATGTCTGTATTTTAGCATCTTGATTACATTTTCCAGCTAGAAGATTCCCCATCTGTTTCACAGATTGACTTGGTTCCTACTATGTCTTTGCTTCTTGGAGTGCCAGTACCATTCTCCAACTTAGGAATGATCATTCCAGAATTATTTGACCACGGTCCCTGGGCTCAGGCAGGAACATCAGAAGTAAAGCAGGTGTTTCACAAAATAAAAGCTCTAAGGTTGAATGCACATCAAGTGAAAGAATACCTTCACGCATATTCTTTAATATCTGAAGATTTTCCCAAACACCAATACAAAGATTTAAATACATTATTTAGCTTGTCAGAAAATGAATTACAAAGACTGATCATGAACATTTACCATAATGGAGAACACGAGGATCTACTATCAAGGCTAGAAAAGCTGGAGACAAACTATAAATCTTACCTCACCAATGTAAGAGGAATGTGCCAAGGTATTTGGGCCAAGTTTGACACGACATCAATGTCTTTAGGTTTATTCTTGACATGCTTCAGCATTGGCATAACTGTATTCCAGCTATTCCACACAAACAGTCAGGAAAGATTTGAAGTGGCTTTCTGGACCAGCACAGCTGTTTCAGGATGGAGCTCAGCATTTGTTGCTGTCCTTTGGTTCTCACTAATGGAGGCCAAAACTGCCATTATGCTAGGAACAATGTTCTTTGGATTCAGCATTATCTTGATTGTTGGATTCATTATTTACAAGTTAATGATGGCGAGGGGAAGTGAACAGTCCAGCACACCAAGTTTATCTGGGTACTTTTCCATACATGGAATATGTGCAATTTTGATAACTTTCATGTACTTCTGTGGATTTTTTTCAAATAGTTATGTGGTTTTTGAGGATAGTATGTCATCCTTTCTACTTCAGTCATTACTGTGGATTCAAAGTACTTTTATTTATGCACAACAATGTGGAACTGAACCTTCAAAACAAATATCTGAAAAAAAGAGAGCAAAATTTGATATTTTTAGAACTTTGACAAATAGGAAGATGAAACCTTTATATCTAGCACTAACTTTTAACCTCTGTGTACGACTTTCAATGAACTTCAGGGCATGCAGAGAAGAACAGTGGACCTGTGAAACCTCATCATTTTTACTTCCTTTGTCAAGTTTTACAGACAGCATACCATTGAAAAATGCAAGATATTTCTTTTCTGTTATTGCTATTATTTTACCTTCCATAGGACTGAGATGGTTCCTTAAACATTATGGAAACCTAAATGGAAAGTCTCTCTTGGTGCTGAGTACAAAGTACTGTATTCCAATAGGCATGTTATTCATTGCATTATACTGGGCATTACAAGCTTTGCCACCACAAGTACTAGATTCACTGCCTGTAACTCGACTCTTTCCAAGAATTGTTTATGTGGCCAATTTGATTACAATTGTAGCCGTTTTTGTGAACCCCCTCAGCATTTATATTTTACCAAAAGCAACAATGGAGTCCCACTATGAACCCACTGCTAAAATTTCCAACAATATAATTCCACAGATGTATAATCAAATGAAAGATTCATTGAATGAACTGTCAGAAAATGAGCACAAAACTACCAATGGTGCAGAAACTTCAGATGACGTTGAACTACCAGTTGTGTATGGCTTGGCCACCGTATATTCATCTGCTATGATAATATTTACTGCTGCAGTGACAGAGATATTGTACCTCCTGCTAGGAGATGGTGTAGCAGCAAGTTTATCATTGGCACTATGTAACATATTCATAGGGCTTGAAATGTATACTTGTTGGAAATGCTGGATGAAAGGTAAGTTTTGCTTTGATTGAAATAAAAAAAACCTTTTAAGCTGGATAATGAAGACACTAGCCATAACCCTGTAACAATCTGGGAAATATTTAAAGTCATTTGTTTAAGACCACCATCCAATCGAACACTGACTTCTGAGTTGTGCGATATTCAAAACTGTGTTAAAGAATGTTGCCAGGTGGCAAGGTTCGTCAGACGATGATTTATTAGTTTATTTTTTGTAACATTTATTTATGGCATTTATCTATCATAAAAAGATTTAAAAATATTACTGGACCAAGTTGACCCTTAAGAAGAAGTGATTTATATGCTTTTAAGTAAAAGATGTATTTAAAATCTTACAATTAGTCCCTTTAAATGAATGTATATATAAAAACATAAAAAGTGACCTGTGTTGAATAGTGTCAATATTTGCTGTGAATCTCTTAGTTTAGATTGCGTTTCATCTAAATTTATTTTCTGTTTTTTTATTTGTTAACCTTTCTGGTAATATATGTATATATATGTATTTCAGACACCAGCTGGGATGTTCCATGGTCAGTGATAGTATTGTGGGGCCTTATGTCATCTCAGTATTTCTTTGCCACAGGCCATCAGGCTACAGTGCCCACTATCAAATGGGAAGCAGCTTTCACTGGATTCCATGGTGACTTTGAAAGCCACATACTCCCAGGCTTGCTCATACATCTCAACACATTTGCATCAGAGGTTTTAGTGTCCCTGACATTACCATTAATACTGTGTTGGCCATTGTTCCGTACCAGTAGGTACAGCATTAGGAAAGGATCCAGTGATAATTGGAATGAAGGAGCAGATAAGGGAGAGCTGGTGCTAATTGAAAATTCAGTCCAGTTTCAGCTGTGTGTTTTCAAACTGGGACTGGGATATGTGCTATTTCATGCAGTGAAGGTATGCTAGGTAACATTTTCAATCCTAGGTATGTTAAATTATAAAATGTAATAGAAGCTATAACCATTATGAATTTCTGTTACTCAGATTTCCATTCCGAAACCCCAAGAATAGTTGAAACGTAATTTATAAAAAATTAAGAAAATGGTAATTTTACTATTGTGCATTATTGAAGTCTAATGCACTGTTAATTTTATTTTCTATTCATATTATTGGATTCCCATGTGAGATTGAGATAAAATTGATTAAATGTATGATGTTTTCCATAATTTTAGCTCCTTGGATCCATGTTGGCTGCAGCAGTATTAAGAAGGCATCTCATGGTGTGGAAAATATTTGCTCCGAGGTTCATCTTCCAAAGTGTTTCATTTATTACCATATATGTGGTGGTTATCATGTCTGTGGGACTGATGCAACATGTACACTCACATCTAGGGGGATGGTTGAACAGACTAGAGAAAACTAAGTAAAATGAAACTGATATGTTTAAATTATTATAATACAAATAATAACCAGGCCCGGTTGTCATTTCTTCTTAGTCTAAGTAGGTATAGTGAGGTAACTCGGATTTAAATGGCAGATATTATATTTCAAAATATCAGAAGATAGTTATTTTTACCGTAACATTGTGAAAAAACCATCAAAAGAATTCTTTTTTTTATAACCAAGTGAAGTATAAAATTGAAGCTCCACAAATATATTATTTTAATCTAAATAAGGGCATATTCTCATACCAAAATCATTTTTGATACAAAACTTTATTGAATGAAATAAAGAAATCACCATATTACAGAAAGTTTTTAAGTAGGACCATGTAAAGCACCCAGAGCTTCGGACAATGGGAATTGAGATGATAAGGAGGAATGGGTTCCTTGCTAGACATACCCTTTGTAGTTGGGAGTGGGGCAATTTTATCCCAGGTGTTGAGTAGTGCACATCCCTATCCGTGTAACGTAATATATTGATAGCTGTAAATATTAGGTCAAGCATCACCACAGACTTATTCCTTATCCAGATACCCAGCTGAGGGATTGCACACAATCCCACAATTATTCTCCTATGCTGCTAACCCAAGTTTAAGGGGCAGGTAGATGAGGGATAGTTATGGAAAAGAAGTCAGCTTGAAAGGGTGAAATCCCACAGGGGCCTCTTTATTAACTCTTTGTAAACTTTTCTAGAAGCCCTTTTGATATTAGAGCGTAGGCAGATTCAGTTCAGTTGGTACTAGGAATTGGACAAAGTATGATAGCAATCAGATTTTAGGTAGCTTAAAGACCTGAGGCAAGGATTGTGGAAACAAGTGTTGGGATAAAAACTAGGCAAATGTCAAACAGCTTGTTATGCAGGCCTACCCAACTACCAGACTCGGCACATAAGGATCCTGAATTAACTGGTATACCGGACCACACTATCCGTTTTCAAGGTGTGTGTCAGATCGCATTTTAGAGTATCAGTCAGAACACCGACTGGATGAGCCCGCGTTGTCAACAGAAAAAGAATTTTAATTCATTCATTCATTCATTAAAATGAATTGTATTAAGGAGACATCTCAATGCTTGTGTCTTGGAAATCTTTGAGATGAAATGTTTTACAAATGAATAAACGAATAACAAAGTTTTGGTGGATTATTTTCTTGGATTATTCATTTTGCTGAAATATATTTAAAATGATGAAGCATAATAAAGCAAAGAGAACTTTTAAAAAGTTAAAAGTAATTTTTTAAAGCAGCACACAGGTAACCATATCTGAATTTTTTATTACACATTGTAGAGTCCAAAAATAAAGAAAGAAAATTACTACTTTCAACCCTGGTCATATTTGTCATAAAATTGGTAACAAAGGAGCTAATGTATAAATAAAAGGGCTGGTAACTCTTCATTTTGACAGGAAAGGTGCCAAAAAATGGAATTTCCTTGGGTAAGCAACAATTTATCAATGTAAAATGATTACATTCCATTATTCAAAGTTAGTCCACTTTTTATGTACAGACACAGATGTGTCTGTACATATTGCCATCACCTGCGTCTGTCGTCGCCGATGGCGATGCCGTCGCCGGCGCCGTGCACTTTCCTTGTAAACACGATAAGTGGAAGGCAGTTTCACTTTTTGGCTTTATATTTACAGAGCTGATGAATATTCATAAAATGCAGGTCAAGTTCGAAAATCAGCATGATCGGGCCATTATTGTAGAAGTTATGCTGTTTTTTCACTTTTCAGCATATATGCAACCTTGTAAACACATTTTAAGGAAAA